TTTAGACTTTTATCATGCCTTCCATAAACAACTAACTCAAATAATTTAGTCTCTTTTTGTCTCTCTTGCACACACTGTGGTTGGCATTACCATCTCTGACACCAAGAACTTGAAGCTTCCTTCTGGTGATGTTATGATTCCAGTTGCATCTCAGTTATACAACAAAAATGCCTAAAAATACAGATTCTCAAATCCATCTTTCTTGGGCAAACTTGAGAAAAACAGCAGTGAGCAATTAGCATTTCTAGAACGCAGAATTTCAAATACTTATAACCATCCTGCTTTTTAACTCTTTGTCAAAACACTAGCATGTATATCAACATGCAGCTTAATTTTTTTTTAAATATCGTTTTTACTCTTTCTGTGCAAAAAGAATTCAGCATTATCTGGCACACTGTTGTATCCCTGACCACTACATATGCCCTAAAAGAGCTTGAAGATTCTTAAAAATGGATGCAACCAATTCCTTGGCTTTGCAGCTTTTAGCACATGCTAGCTCTTTCTGGATGTAATAGTAAACAACTTGATATACAGCTTGTGTTTCTTTATAGCTTTGAACTCTCCATAAAAATATTTCGGATTTTCAGTGAACCATATACATTCTTTAAAGTTCATGACATGTTACTTCAAAAATTCTGTATGTATTACCCAGGGTTTTCTTTCTGCAATCTCTTCTCTCTTTCTTTCAGAAATATTTTTCTTCTATATTTTCAGTCTCCTTTTGTACCCTGATATATTGTTTTTTAACTTTAGGAGCTGGATGCTACAAAGCATTTCTAGCTTAGCTAGAAACAAAAGCAGAAGTACTTCAAAATAGCCATATTCAAAATAGAGTAACTTTCTGAATCCTTTGAAATACTCTGATTGTTTGCAGATAAAGAATAAACCATGGTTTGCATCTGACCAACTGCTTTCACCTTTATAAGACTTTCAATTTACTTTACATCTGTGCAGGAGGTGGATACAGCAGAGAGCCTCAAAGGAACCACAAGATAAGGATAAATGGTAGCAGTCAATATGGTAGCTACTATTTATAGAATATTAGGTGCATAATCACTGCAAATCTTGCAAATATCCTTTAAGAATAGAATGTTAGGGAAAAATTCATGAAAACAGGTTAGTCTTGGATGTTCAGCCTTGGGGTGAGATGAGAGAAACGTGCCAATGGGGTGTTACAAATAAGATTTTCTTTTTTTAAGTGTATATGTAAGCTTAAACAGTTAGAAAAATAACACTTTTCATTGTACCATGCCTACATCTGAATTATAACTATATCTGACAACTACAAAGATAGCATCAGTGTCAAAAGAGATATATATATGTATATATACTCTAAGACCGAAGTCACAAATTTTCCTCCTAAAATGAGTACACATTTTGGAAATGCTGGCCCAGCTAAGAATGGAAATTTCCATTGTTCTTTCTCACTTCCATTATTCCGCTGCTTTAAGTGGAGGCAATTTTTGAATACTCCCCTTGTCCAGAAAGATCACCTGCTTAGCAAGTGACAAAGACTGAGCATTTTGAGATTCCAAACAACCAATATGAACCAGAGCTAGATCTCCAGTTCACAGAAGTCTTTCTCTGTGCCCCAGAGCTGCCTGGTGATGTTTAACGAGCAATTCTTGAGAAAAGATTTTTTTTTCTGGTGCACAGTAAGTTATGTAAGTAGATACTTAGCATCTTCTGAAAGAGAAGGTTCTCCTTTATCTGAAATGGACTGGCAGATTCCTGTCCTTCACAGTTGTTTATTTTATTTTGTGACAAAGCCATGTGTTTTTGCCTGATCACATCTGAGTTTGAAGATAACAGTGAAGGAAATATTAACAACTCCTTTCTCTTCAAAACATGCCATCAGTCTGTGAACATTACAAAACTAAACAAAAAAAAAAACCACCCTAAAGCCTTAATATGTTTTAGAGGCTGCTAAACAGAACACACCAACTACTGAAACCCAGCCTAAACATTAAGAGCATCGTTTTTTCTTGATGAGCCATAAACCAGTGTAATCTGTCTGGTAGATATACAAAAAGCTTATCTAGTTCATTTCATGTTCATCTAAAGTTGATCCACTTAATTATTTCTTCCATTAAACAGCCCACTGCTGCTTTTTTCTGGTTGGAAAGTGTCAGTGTTACAGGAGAGAGATTTTATGCTCAGAGGACCTGGGATTAGAAGAGCAATCATTTTGATATTGGAGATTTGTGTTTGGAGGCAGATTGCTTTTCATCATGGAGAAAATTTTTATGCTGACCCCCATCTGTGTTATGAAATAATTTCTAACTCCGGAATGGCAGAAGACGTTATAGTCTGAAGAATCAAAACTGTTGGTTTTGGATACAAAAAAATTCTTCCAGCGAAGAAAGCACATGGCATAATAGTTTGATTTAATGGCATTGTTTGCAGTAAAGCTGACATTTCAGGCATAATCTGCAGTGCTTACGTGAAGTAGGCCATTTTGCTGGGCAGAGAAGGGTTTGATGTATTCTTTTATATTACTGTGTCAAATTGGATTAGAACGTAATAAAATGGAGAATGTAAAATAAAGGCCTTTGGGATTGCTGGCTATGCAGTATAATAAGATGTACAAGGAATTAAAATGAATGTACTCTTCAGAAGTATGACAAACTTGTCATGTAGTTGTGCGGACTTTCTCTTTTTCTAGTACGTTACCTTGGTTTATCCCTCCAGTGCTGCACTCTCTGTTGATCTACATTAAGTGAATTTCCTTCAGTAAGTTTGCCCAGCATTTGCCTGTTTTTTAATTGTTATTATTTGACAGCAAGACATTCAAAGATACAATGATTGAAAACGTGCTACAGTTGATACAGTTTCTGTTTGCAATCATAAACTGCCCAACAGTGCTCAAAACTTTGCTAAAATTTATTTCAGAGATTCACTAATACTGCCTGCTGGACTGGTTTGGAGTGCAGTCACAGGAGTATTCACTTCCACAGCTTCACTGAGTAGCCTGTAGGATTCAGGTTCTGCTGTCAGCCTGTGAGATATCTAAGCTACACAGACAAGAAAATGTGCTGAAACTTGGTTTCTTAAATGATGCTTGGAGGGTTTATCAAAACTTTATGGAGTAAGTTCTAACCTTTGAAATTTTGGAAATGTTAATTAGTAAGCTGAGTACTCCAAACTTTCATTTATCTGATACTCTTATCTCAGAACTCACATTAGCCAAAATTGGATCGTATCTCTTATGTACTATGAGTCATTTGCTTTGAAAAAGTCTCCGTTAGCTGAAAACCCAGTGGCAAGTCTGGGTGGCAGGTCATGAGTTCTGTTTGGATATACAGGGTTACACTTCACATAGGAATTAATATTTGTAAGAATTAATAAATGCCTCATGTTTCAGTCCTGGATTAAATTTCAGAGATTACAGAAAATCTGAAAACAAATTATACGCTGCATCGCTTTTGAAATTTGGAAGGAGAAGAGACTAAAAAGAAAATACTAGAGCCAATCTTTTGCCTAAGTTAAAGCATGGAAAAGGACCAGTACGTATCAAAGCAACCCCAGCATGCCTGTGCATTCAACTTTCAGTTGATTGTAAAACCGAAAAGTTGAGCTTGGGGCTCTTAGTGCTGTACGAAGGCAGGCTTTCACTTGGAATGACTGTCATCTGCTCTGTCAGATTCTTACTTTTCCCTTGTGGTTGAAGAGCAGTAACTTTTCATAGAAAAGGCAGGTTCATCTTTCCCTGACACTGTGTGTCCATGCTCCCGCTTGTGCCTTGAGTGAGGGAACTGCTCATGCTGTTGCTGAGGTTCCATCCTAGTGTGGAAGAGGTTTGTGCAGCGGGTGCACAGCTTGTTCCACACACGGATACATAACACTAAGAACACTGAGAAATCATCTTAAAACAAGGACAATATCAATTTTCTAAAAGAAATTCCAAACAAAAAACTTGATTTAGTCCATTTGGTCTGTAACATAGCATGCTACCAGAGCACAGAGGCATAAGGTGAGGGTCTGAATTCAGGAAAGTATTTGTCTTAGAACATCTTTAACTTTTCAATGGCTTCTTACACTCAGCTAAGTGTATGCTTACACTTTGATCTTACTGTTAATAATGTTTATTTGACTCTAAAATGTGCACTCCATTTGAGTATGGTTTGATATAGCTAATGAAATATTTACTGACTCTTGGCACTAGTAGCTTCACCTTTGTGTATTTCTGTAATCTATCATTCTCATTGAAGGTCTGTTCTCCATAGGATCCATAGGAAGCACATGATTAATTTCTAAGAGCAATACAAGGAGGTTGGCTCATGCTTTGAGAAGAAAGCGCTTTCTTTTCCAAAAGTAATTTTTGTGGTTTTGTACCTAATCACTAATTGGATTCCTGTGTAGAATTTGATACCAGAGACTTTGGGATAACAGAAATATAGACTTATTTTATACATTTCCCATTTCCCTGTGTAACAAAGTGATGCCAAACAAAGAGTTAAACCAATTCCAGTGTGTTTCATTGCTTTCACGGAACAGCACTGTCTGTAATTCTCTTTGCCTGGATTATAGACGTGGTGTTATCTCTCTTTATGAGAATACAGTCTTTTGAAGGACTGAAGATCACTACACAAGAAATCTTGAATCTGCAGTTCTGGCTGATTAGTATGCTGTAATTTATGTGTCGAATCATGCAAAACACGGAAAGATAGGCAAAATAAGAAAAGTAGTATTTCCTTAAGTAAGTTTGAGATTAAGTAAGATTTAGAGAAAAACATTCTCCAGCTTTTCTACCCTGTCAGCAGGGCAATGACTAAACCCACTATTTCCTACATAAGACATTCTTTAATATATCCAAAGAATGAGAAATGAGGACTGAAAACGTACTGTCAATTTCCTTGGATTAAGGTCAAAGCTTGAGAAAGAGAGAGAATAGAATATTTTCCTTCATAAATTTACCATACAATTTCAGTTATAATCAGATTAAGGAAATAAATTCAGAAACAAAAAAAAATCTCAAAAAGAAAAATTATAATACTTACATTGGTGACATATTCAATATCCTTCCAAAGATTACATTCCCTGGGAAAATCTGCCAAATCTAAAAAATTATCCACTATCACTTGGCCGATCAAGTCATGCCTGGAGAATCTGTCAAAGTCATACACAGAGAAATGGAGTTTCCTTGCGTTCAGATCATTATATGGGACAGTAAATAAAAAAACTTCATCAAATACTGGATTTAGGGTCTTTCTATGCACTTTAGTCTGGTGTTTGGTTTTCCTATCAGGGAGTAGATATATCTTCACGTATGGATCTGAAGTTCCAGAGAAGTCCTTTGCCGGCAGGTTGATGGCCTTATGTATCTTCACTATCAGCTGCTCTAAATCACAGTCATATTTCAGAATAAAGTTCAGTTTTCCACATGCCTTGCTGTTACTCCTCCGGCCATCATCTGTGTCCACTGATCTTTGTTTATACAGCTCCGGCTTAATGCGGCCAATCCCTGTCAGTTGCTCCTGTTTCTGAACCTGCTGGATGTTGAAGTCGGGGTTGGAGAGGTTGAGCTGTCTTCGGATTGAATTATGCCTGAAGCGAAAATGAAAGAATTGAAATAGAATGCGTTGAAGATTATAAGAATCTGTGCACACACACTAAAGATTCTGTTCTCATTTGACAAGTTTTTGTAATGTACGATGGGATCAGGTTTTCACTCGCGTCAAGTGATTAAGCATGATACCCAACAATTGTGAGAGCTCACCTTCACCGTTAGACTGATAATAGCACATAATTTTCTGTTTCTGTGTCTCAAGCCAGTGTTACGCACTCTCCAAACCTGGCTGAAGAAAGTAACAAACGCAAATTTGTGGCCACTGCAAATCCAAAGATCTGCCTTATTGGCAAGGATAATGTGATATGATAAGAACTGTTAGTTATTCTTAACAGTTACCATTTTCAACTGATTCCTTTGGATTATTGCCAATGAAATGAGTAACATTATATAAATGGCAGCAGGATCTGGCCTATTATGCCAGCTGAGTTTGCTGATTTCTGGTTCTAAGATAAACCTGGACAAAGAAGAATGCTTCTTGACACCTCTGTATTTTAATTACTTGTTGATCTCTATGACTACTTCACTTACAAGTGAGCTGTTCTGGTCTGAAATGGTTTGTTGACCACCCCAACAATGGTTTTAGGTTTTTTTGTCATACCTGATGTAATAAGCTCTGTGGTACTTTGGCTGAAAAGCTCCTTTAGTTTCATTACTCTGAGGAGAGAAATTTGCTTTTAGCTTCGGTCCAGTGAAATTTATTACCTGGAGCCTCTCAGTTATTGTGATTGAAATTTCCACTTCATGAGATGACAACAGAAATCAAATTTGCAAACTCTGTCGGGGTAGTGGGATGTGAAAGTTGGATTAGGTAAAATCCTAATCTTATATGAGTTAGTTGGATTCCACTTTTTTGTCCTACTCATATGCAGCAATCATTCAGTGTATTGGAGCGACATGAGCCGTGGTTGAACACAGAAAGAGCACGTGGAAAATGGTAGCACAGGATTAGTCCAAAGCTATTTATGTTGAATGTAATCAGCAATAGTTCCTCTGTTTTCATTGTTCATTCATTCCTTGTAAATATGTTTACACATGCTTAAAACAGGAACAGCCTCTTACCTACTATCCTAATTTTTTTCCCTTGTTGCATAATATAGCTATACATTAGTCATTTCCATGATAAAATATTATCATGTCACAAAAAAAAAGATTTTTATTGTTCAACCCTTAAATGTCTCATCACAGTGGGAGGTGCAGAATATCCTGGGGAGGAATAAAAAGGAGGACACTGGAGAGACAGCTTAGCAAGGATTGTAGCAGGGGCAGGTGCCTGGTCTCTGTGGTTGCACAGGAAAGGCACAGCTGGCTACCCAGCTGTGCCAGAAAGCAGCAGACACGAAGGGGAACAAATGAAGGATGCAGTACAAGGAAGACGGGCCCCTCCTGCTCAGTGAAATGAGTCTTTAGGAGAAGGTCAGGGCAAAAGCATGGGACAATGAAAGAGAGGCGTGAAGAGCAAAGCATGTATCAGCAAACATTGTAGGGCAGGGATGAGACTTGGACAAGTCTTGCTCTCGTGGCCAGAGAGCCACTGCAACACCTGCTGGAGACAGCCAGACAGGGAAAAGTTGCCAGAAGAAAGATCTGCAGAGATTCACAGGAGTGAAGACATCGTCCGTGCGCTCAGGATGCTGAGGCAAGTTCTTTGAAAGACTGGGATTGCTGTCGCTTCTTGTGAGATGACTATGCTGTGGTGATACTGTGTGTTTGTCCTTGGATTAAGCATCAGGATTTTGCTGCCCTGTTGTAGCAGAGAAAGCCTGTATCTGACTGAATACTTTCACAATATCAAAGACACACATGAGAGAGCTCTTGGTTAGATGTCAGATACGAATCTTCTGTTGTTAGTGAATCCCATGACATGCTTATTTCCCAGCACTCTGAAGAGAGCAGCACTAACCCTGCACTGTACATCTGAACTATTAGTCCTGAGTTGGAATTCAACCTTGCATGTGGTAGGGTGCAAGCTTGGGTATCCATAATTACGGCTTTGACCTTCCCATAGATTCCTACAACAAAATGAGCCCAGGCCATTCTTCTACTAATCTAAGAAGGAAGGGCTTTTTATGGAGCTTTTGCTGCATAACATCACTGCTGTTCTGGAGACTTCTCAAATTCTTTCTGACACATGTTTTGAACAACTGGCAATTACTGAACTGGTTGCTGAATGCTGTCATTTACCCATGTTCAGGTGTGCCTGAAGGCGAGTGTCTTGGCTAAACTCGCTCTCCCAGATGGCCAGAAAGGAGGCTAGCAAAGAGCAATTGGGCTAGTGCTGTACCTTCTCCAGCTGAAGTGCATCTGCTCTGACTCAGAAATTTACTGTCTCTTCACATGCTGATCCTTTTTCTTGCTGTGTGAAACATAATCCTTTTATCACCTGCCCCTGCACACACTCTCATCCTCCCTCTTCCCTCCTGTACTGGTTCTCCAGTTCCCCTGGAGACCTCTCTGACTCTTGCTCAGTCACTTTTCCCACCCCCCAGTCATGACTGTGACTAAAATCTATGATTTTTAATCCTGTTTCTAACTCTTGCAAGTGTTTCATTGGCTTGCTCTACATTTCTTCTTTGGCTGTTTTAAAAATCTTTGAGGAGATATTACCGAGTGTTCAGCATCAGTGATAAGTGCAAATGAATATGCTTTACAAGCTAAATCTAGGCTGTTCTGGTGCTTTAAGGGACACACACAGCTTCTGAGGGAGAGGCACAAATGAGACAGTAGCTGAGTGGAATAGCCTTGCGATCCTGCCCTTTTAACCTAAGAGGTTTATGCACCTCAAAGAATAACTTCTGTGTATTTTTTTAAAAACAGAATGTGACAAGTAAATTATGCATTTTTAATAGATCAGTGTACTGGGTAATCAAGCTATGCCCTTTTGACTGTATCTCTATTCATTAATATCAGAGAGAAATTGGAGTTACTGACCGAGCAGAAGAGGTTGGTTCAGTGATCTGACGATGCATTCGCACATTGTGTACGCAGTTCTCCTTATTTCCCGCCTGAGCATCTAATGGAATATCAGGGGACGTGTGGCTGATCTTCATGGAGGACTCCGGATAGGCTGTAGGCTGACCCAGATAATCCTCACTGTAGTCATGGTCATTGGTCTCTGTATCTGTGTAGTTCAGTGATTCTTGTTTGTTGTCTTTGCTCCCAAAGGGCAGACCACGCTCTCGCCAAGGGATCCAACAAAGCTTCCAGGACACGAACAGAGAGACACCAAAGAGAGCAAGACCACAGGCTGTGACAACTAAGGATAGTAAGCTTATCGAGATATCTGCAAACAAGAAAAACACATGCATGTCACATCTTTGTGCTCTTTGGAGCATACAATATGGGAAGTAAACATCTCCGGATTGCAGATCTACGAAAAATAAATTCTGGTCCCTGCAACAGTTATATAATAGGAAAATACTATATGTTCTGTTCTTCTTTCCCCCCCTCCACCCCCAAGAAAAAAAAAAAACAAACTTTGTTTGGAATTCAGTATGAGGCTCATCTTGATAGAACTTAATTTATATTTTCTGTCCAAAAGCTGGGTAGCATGAAGGGTCATTCCAAATATGAAAAGGGCTGTTCATTTGTTCACTCAGCTTTCTACTGATGAAAGAGCAGTGCCTGCAGTATTTTTTTTATTACTATTTTTTAATTTTCTTTTTATGTAGTGCAGTTTCCTCCACCTCCTTTAACAGATCTTATTCTCTTCTCTTTCAGAACCTGTATTATACTTACACAACCATGGGCATATCCACACATGCACATATGTAGCATGATTTTTTTTTAGGTATTCAACTGAAATATCTTGTTTCGTTACTTTAATCCCCTTCTTTCTAATCTTAGACTCATTCTTATTTTTGCAAATGATTTTTGACTATCACTACATGTCTTGCTGGTCATCATTTAGTTTAGGTACCAATATCTCTTCAAAACTGGTATTTTTCTGTCTTTTAACTCCAAAGGCTCTTTTTTCTGTTTCCAAACTTCTGGTATAAAAGGAATGTGGACATGAGTTTTCTGTTGTTTTCCCCCACATTATCCTACTCCATAATCATATCAACACAAAGTTACAACTGGGAGAGGCTTTTTCTCTGTTTTGCTTTGTTTTAAGTTGCACATTGGGAAAATGACTCAGTGGAACAGCTGTTTTTATGGTTACAGTGTTTTTGAAATGAGTTTCTCTATGGATTACACAATACATCATGCCTTAAACAAAATTAGTAAGAACTCTATTTTGCTGCCTCAAATTATAAACACAACCTGATCAAAGTGATTTTTCACACTGCGTGTAGGTTCAGAACGTCAGGCCGCATTCCTCTAGCTAACAGCTAGCCTAAGTTTTCAAAGGATGGCATGCGGTTGAAATGTACTGCTCCTACTAGGACAATTATTTAAGAATGACAATTCAGATGAAACAGCTCGGTCAATTTTTAAAAAAAAAAAAAAAAAAAAAAATTCTGAAAAGTCAATACCTTCTGCCCCTGCTGTGAGTTTCATTCTCACTAGCCAGACAGATGAAATTTCTGCAGAGGGAGGAGTGACACTATCATCATTTTCACGCAGGAGCTATCCAGTATATTTTGCATGCCGAAAACCAATTTTAAGCAATTTTAGCCAGCATGGCCCTTTCTGTCCTTCTCCCAGTTCTATGAAGACAAAGCTCATTAACAGTGGGGACAGCACAGCAGCTGTTTGGAATTATAGCAAAGTGCTTCAGAGCTGAAATTAATTAAAGAAATTCCTCCCATGCATAAAAGGCAATTTGGGAGAAAGTAGAATGGTGGTTCTTGATATTTTTAGAATATTTACTGGTAAACAAGTCTGGCAGTAGAAGCAGAGCACAACCTCTCTGTTTGATTAAAAAGCAGAGGAACTGGGATGCAGTAGTGAAAGACCTTCAGAATAAAACAATTTGTCTTGGATTCCCAGGAGGAGAAGGAAGAAATACATCAGAGGTCTGCAGAAAGGTCACTTTTTCAAAGAACTGATTCAAGTAAATGATCCAGCATTGAAAGAAATGAGAAATTGGGAGTTGTCAGAGCCAGCCAGAAGATTATAAGGTGAGAACTGGAGACTGCCCAATGCCAAGGATGTGTGAAGGTGAGGAAGAATTTGAAAGGTAGACCAACAGTCCCCTACCTTGAGGATGTCTTTAGCAGATGACACAGTCATTTAGAGAACTCACATTATGAGGAAAAAAAAAACCAAAACACGTGAGCAATTTGAACTACTTTTCATTTGGAGAATTTGAAGGGCTGTAATAATATATCTCTGCATTGAATGACATAATACTGAGAACTCTTCTCTCACAGCTTACTTACAGAGAAGCCAGGTAATAAACAGTTCAGGTAACTTGCCAAATTGCAAAATAAGAAGGGATTATTTTTCATCATCTTGATTTTACTTCTATCTGACTCCTTAGGAACTGTTTCTGTGTGAAATTCTTGTTTCTGTGAATGGGAAAGAGACCATCATGAATCTATGAAAGACAGTGGGGCTAAAGGGCATTGTTCTAAACTATTACCTTTCATTGGACTGTAATTTTCGGATACTGTACACGTGGCTAGCAATTTTCAGCAACTGCGCAGATCCAATGTGAACAGCTGGGGTGAGTGCAGTCCCAAGTGAAAAGAGTTCTGGCTGCATCCTAGAGCTGCTTTTACATTACCTATTTGTACTGTCACATACTGTATTTTCTGTATAATTTTTACTCCATCCTTCCAGATGTCTCAGTTTTTCTAAGCCTGTTTATCTGTATTCCCATGTGGTAGCAATACTCATCTGATGCCAGTGATTTCCTCTGCTTTGTAATGAGAGGCTAAGTCTTTTCTTGTTTGTCCTTGCAAAAATTAGAGATCTGCAGTGAAGAAAGTGTTCCTCAAAAATCCAGCTGCTTCTCAGTTCACTGTGCTTTGACCAGAATTACTGCAATGTGTTTTCCAGAGCAGTATCTGATGTAAGTCTAAACTGCAACCATGAATCAAAGTGCAGGCAAGCACTACAGGCAAGGCTGAGCAGTTTACAGGTAGAAACAGACATTGGGAGCATCTCATCTTCAGATTACCTTATTAAACAGAATCACACAACTGTTGGGGAAGGGACGGGACCCTCCAGATCATCTAGTTCAATACTCTGCTCAAGCAAGGTCACCAAGAGTAGGCTGCCCAGGACTGCACCCAGACAAAATTTCCCCGATGGAGACTCCACAGCCTCCACAGGCAACCTATTCCAATATTTGACCACCCTCGTAAAGGCTAATGACATAGTATTTTATCCCTACCAAAATAAAATTAAGTGGGTAACAGTCTTTAAATTGCAACACAAAAATTTCAATAAAGCTTTAAGATGTAACGGCACATTGCAGTTTATCTAGTAAAAAAAGAAACAAAATTATGCCTCTGTTTATACTGCACAGGTTTTTAATATAGATCTACTGAACATAAGCTTTTATATTGATTTGGAATTAAATCATAGATTGTTCCAAAAGAACTTGAGTTAGTGTTGAATTTATGCATATATATTTTATGTTTCTTGTTCAGCATTGGAGGTTATAAGGCTAAAGGTAAAGGTATTTCCATTCAACTTCTGACAGCACAAAATTGCAGACCTGTGACTTCTTTTTTTCTGGCATAAATGGTTGTGCCTTACCCTCTAAGACTCTGATGTTGAAAACACCAAAAAATTAGACATATGAAATACAGAAATAATAGTGGTGTTTCTATCTGTTCATGTGTGAAACAAGGAATGAAATATTTATTTTCCTTCTTCTGTTTAAGTTTGAATTGCTAAATATTATACAAAATCAAATAGCAAAATTAGCTAACAACAGGAGAGATCAGCAGCTAATGCAGATTAATGCACGTATCCAGATATGCAATTGGAATTACAGAGTCAAAAAGCACAAACTATTTGGATTCATGGGAATCCAACAGATGCAAATAACAAACATATGAAAAAAAAAAAAAAACAAACACAACCTGGAATTTCTGATCAACCAGGCATAGACAGGACATCTGATCAAAGAAACTGCTGAAGAACAATATAATTATTTGGGTAATGAAGTTGTTGTTGTCTAGATGTGATCGGTGTTCAATCAAACGGACTCGTTTCCCAACAAACTGTAATCTGGTTTAATTTGAAGCTGAAAGAGTTTTACCAGAAATCCTAACTGGGAGAGTGCTTTTAACAAGTTCTTATTGAAATAAAACAAGCTTTCTCCTTTTTGCTTACTTACTCTTCTCTTTTTATTGAAATAAGTATTCAGATATTCCAGAATTATTGTAATACACAGGTAAAGTTTGGCTAGCAAGAAGTGAAATAAATCTTAGCAATTTAAAATCTTGCAATATAGATATTTGTAGTCCAATACAATAAATTTTTTCTGATTTAAGAACCAACAAATTTCAAAAGGCGTTCATTTCAACAGTGGAGTCAAACAGAAAATGATAAAATTAACTTGTTCTGAATAATCATGTTATTAAACTTTAGGACATATTGGGACAGATCAATCAATCTTTGTTAACATGATTCAGTCCAAATTCAATGATAATTTCAAGCTGTTATTTCCAGAGAAAAAGAAAATGCTCTTCCTTTCATGAAGTTCTTTTTGCTTAGGGGGAGATTTTAAGGAATATGAAGTGGTTAGACATCTAACTTCTTGAAAAACAATTGAAACATCAGTGCCTATTGCTTAAATCCTAGCTGTGGCTTTGAAAATCTGAATTGCCTTTATTCCATGCAAATACATCTATGGAAGGTTAGCCATAACCATTTCAGCTGAGTAATTGTTCTGCAAGAGAAACTTTTTTTTTTTTTTTTAAACCCAGGAGTCTAAGACCCTAACTTTTCCAGAGGAGAAGTGCTGTTTGGATATTGTTTGATCTGAAGTACTCACTGAAGCAGTTTTAACCTACTGTTGCCGCCTAGTTTCATTTGTGCTTCCCAAGTTTTTCTTAATTAACATAGCTGGCCCTTGTTCAGAATGAAAGGTGTCTCTTTGCAAAGACTCCTGAGACAAAAGAATAATTCTCAGCTAATATGCTCTTCTCTGAAACATTCCTGAACAGAGTTAATTATCCTCAATATTGTGTTTAGAAACTTTCTGGGAAATTCTTTAAATTTAAGGCAGCTGAAAACCAAGGGAGTGAATCTCAGATTATATTAATGTTATTACACTTAAACACTCTAGCTCTTATCTGTCTGACCCTGAAATTTGTGAATGTGGACCAAGAAAATAGGCCTAAGTGAGATCAGTATCAGGGTTTCACATAGTAATAACAT